ACGTGTTTTCAGAAACATATCTCGTTATTGGAGCTTGAGATGTTAAATAAATAAACGGTTTCTTCAAGTGTTTATGTTTCTGATCGGTTTGGTTTTAATTAGTTAATTAGTTCATGATTGACGGCTGAGGCTTCACGATCACTTCTTCACAGACTCGTTCGTTTTTTCCAAATATCTTGGTTTCACTTCTGGAAGAAAGAGTTTTTATTTTCAGTCTATGTTTTAAACCCCGAAAAAACTTTATTTTGGGTTCTAGAGAATAAGACTTTTCCATGTGATAGAACAGAAAACACGTGTTTCAGGTTTAAAAACGCAAAGACACAATAAAAAGGATTTTTCTGTTTCTCCCTCTCAGCTCCGGTCTGGGCGGGACCAGAAGGTCGTCGGTTTGAATCCCTGGCTCCTGGTCAGTGTGTTGTGCACACGCTGGATGAATGTGTGTGTGTGTGTGTGTGTGTGTTAAAGTGCTCGACAAGAACAGTTCCTAAAATCCAGTCCACTTACAGCAGAGTGGGACCGTGCTGTTGCCTTGGTTACAGCTGTCCCGTCACCTCAGCGGGGCGCTGACAGTAACATCTGGAGAGATGGATTATTAAAAACACCGTTTGTGTGAGTTTGGTGCAGAGCTGCAGTTTGAACAGTGACGATTGTGTTTGTGGATAAATTAAACTGTGTCCACTTTAAAACCAACGTCTGTCCGGTGGATTCTGTTCCATCGTTTTATTTCCTGATTGATTTTTGTCTCTTCTGCGACGGAGCCTCGAAATCCTGCAGTCGTGTCGTGCAGAGTTGTGTTGTGTTGTGTCTTGTTATTTACAGTAGTATTGTGTTGTGTCTTGTTATTCACAGTAGTATTGTGTGGTGTTGTGTTGTTTCAGGAGAGGCTGTGTTGAAACTGGAGCTGGTTCATCTTGATGTGAGTCTCTGAGGTTTTCTCTGGTTGTGAGGCTGCAGATGTTCATCCACAGGCTGCTGCTGCCCTCCAGTGTTTCCTGCAGCTGCAGCAACACAAAGCTACACAGAGGAGCACAGAGCAACACACAACAACACACAGCAACACACAGCAGCACACAGCAACACACAGCAACACACAACAACACACAGCAACACACAGATACACACAACAACACACAGCAACACACAACAACACACAGCTACACCATAGACTGTATATAAGAGCAACACAAAGCAACACTTCAAATGATTTATGAAAATAAAAAGGACAAAGATGCAGAATAACTGAAGTAAACCATCTTTAAATGTTGTAATAAACTATATGAAGTGTGACTCCAGGTTTGTTTCACACTTTTCTCTTGCTGTTTGTATAAACTCTGTTTCGATCATCCTGTTACCATCGATATCGAAAAACAATAACTGATGAATAAAACAAGAATAATGCAGAACGATGAATACATTTCCTCAATTTAAAGATTCAAACTTTGCAGGTTTTATTAGATTGTGATCCTTGACGAAGAAGAAGAAGAAGAAGAAGAAGAACCTGTCACAGGGGCTGACAGGGGCTGCAGCATCCCCTACAGGTGAGTAGCTGTAACTGCAGTGCAAACCATTATGAAACAAATCAATTTAAATGTAATTATCCATCAGCATTTTGAGTCACACAGCCTCACATCCAGAAATTAATGTTTTACACTGTTTGATTTCATTTTTAGAAAACTCGTTTCTATCTCGCTGTTTGTGTCAAATGGTGTAAAAACTGGTGTAAAACATTGTTGGTCATTAAAATCGTTTAATTTAATGAATTTAATCGAGTTCCTCTCAGCTCCGCAACTCTGACTGACACCTGTCAGTGGGAGATGATGAGTCATGAGTGTTTGTGTCATCGTATAAAACCACCTGATACAGAAACACAGAGGAGTGACCCCCCCCCCCCCCCCAATGATTCATCGTCTCTGTAAACTCTAAACTTTTCACGAATTTCTTTTATTGTCGACATTTCACACCCACAAAGTTTGAAGTCGATCGAAAGAGCGTCTGACGAGAAAATCAAAAAACAGACGGACGGAGCGGAGCCGAATACGAGTCAGATTTACCGAAGTGAAAATATTCCTGAAGTAAAGAAACTTTAACTTCATCAGAAATCAGTAGAAACCAGTTTCCCTGCTGAATATTGGATTTGTTGGTAACAAAGTTAACTTCACTGAGGCTGTAAACTCAAGTTCAGAGGGAAATAAAACCTAAAAGATGCTTTTACTTTATTTCTGTTTTCTTTTCATCCACATAAATAAATAATGGAAACCTGCAGCAGCGTTAGAGAACGTGTGTGTGTGTGTGTGTGTGTGTGTGTGTGTGTGTGTGTGTGTGNGTGTGTGTGTGTGTGTGTGTGTGTGTGTGTGTGTGTGTGTGTGTGTGTGTGTGTGTGTGTGTGGAGTCAAGCTGAACTCAGTTAATACAAAACAAGTTTCCAGAGAGTATAATAATATTGTGGCGTTTAAATAAAGTTGAGCTGCCGATGCTCACGGACAGAAGCTGAGTCTGAGTTGTGGGAAAGTTGTGGAGGATTGATTCCTGGAGGAGGTTAGAGTTGAAGTCTCATTTCCTGAAGTCTGGCTGCTCCACTCTCCATTAAAATCATCATTTTGAACCAGAAAAGTTTTTATTCAAAGTTTTATTCACCTGCACTGCCTCCTGCTGGTCGAGAGGCCAAACGACCTGAAGCTCATGAAGTCTCCTCAGGTGTTCAGAGTCTGGTTGATGAAGAGGAAACTGATAAAGAGGAAGCAGGAAGTTCACTTCTCCTCCGTCTTTGGAGTCGTGTGTTCAGGCCTCATGATGTGAACTGTTGTGTTGTTGTATTTTCACTGTTGTGTGTCTGTTTGCAGCAGGTCGATGTTTGTGTCTGAAGAAAGAAGACGAGGACTTTTGACTTTCTGTGATTTTGTGACGGGACGTCCAGTTTTCATGGTTTTATTTCTTCTTCTTCGCTCTGATGCTTCAACTCTCTGTGGGTTTGTCTCTGTTTGTTAATCTTTGTTATTGTTGGTTGTGGATCCTTTTACTTCTCTCTACTGTGAAATATCCTTCGTATATGTTGTGAAGATCGCTCTTAGTAACAAAGAGAACGAGGGAACGTGACTTGATAAATAAATGAAAGTTTACATGTTATAGATATTTATATGGATAAAGACAAAACAGTGTTTGCTTCAAACGTCTTTATGTCCAGTTACATTTCTGAGTCCACTGGTTTCCTGTGTGGAGACGTTTTCTGAACTTTTATTCTGTTTCATGAAATATTGGATAGTTTAAGGCTTGAACAGATTGTTCGGAGGTGAAGTATCTTCGGTGGAACTCCCAGACATCTGAAACTTAAGCAGTGGAACCAGACGGACCTGAAATCTTAATCCTGACATTTTAACTTCAGCTGTTGGATAAACGTATCGTGACAGAACACATTCTCTTTTCTTCTTTTATGTCGAATGTGACAAAATAGTTTTTAATAGTTTCCGCTCATCGTTATTCAAATGATTAGGAAGAAAGGACGTCAGCACGTATTGTTAAACTGCTGTCGTGTTAAACTTCTCTGTGTTTGTAAATGAATCATTTTCCTTTTTTCCCACAAACAGCAGTTTACTTCTTCAGCTTTAAATCAGATTCCAGCTCCTTCATCACCTCAGCTGACTGCCGCTGAATTAAAAACCTGTTGTTCTGCTGTGATTCAGCGTTTCTTTACATTTCCTCCCGTCGAGGTTCGACTCTGCAGCCGGTGAATCCACTTCTCTTCGACCCGGGAGTCGCTCTGTGGCCAAACACCCTCACGCTCCTGTCAGGCGGCAGATTCATGCTCCACTTACGTTATTGGACTTAAATAGGAGTCTTGTTTTAATAGAATTGGATTCTTTCTCTCTCTCTCGGCTTCACTAACTCACACGTGGACACGTTTAATAGCAAACTGTGCATTAGCTTCTGTTTCTTCCCTCTCCGACCTGTTTACTCTCAACGCGTGGAGCCGAGAAAAGTGTTTGCGTTGTTCTTTTTATGTTCGTTTGAATCTAAACTGGACCAGTTTGTCTGTGAGATGAATGTTTCCAGCGCAGACTGAGCTAATTATAAATTCTCACAGCTCGTTTTTGGCCTTTTAAACCGGCCGGAGGAGGAGGTGGACTCCTGCAGACGCTCAGCACTAAAACAGAAACAGCTTCATCAGTGTTCCTCTGGACCCACAGAGGCCCGTTACACAGAGCGCAGGCAAAACCCAGAAGATTCATCGATAAGAGGAGGACGAGTGGAGCAGCGTCCAGATCTAAAGTTTCATAAACTGTTTCTCAAAGGAAAACGTGTGTGTGTGTGTGTGTGAATAGTACAGAATATTAGTTTAAACAATAATCAACATTAATACCAATAAACTCACATTACATATTTCACAACATGTACATTTAATGCAGATGATTTAATTCAAAATGTATTTAAAAAATTGTGAGTTTATTTTCCATGAAGTGAATAAAACCCTGAAAATATTGATGATCAAAAACTGGAATGGTCGTTTTTTTAAATGTCTAACTTTGTCTCAGAAGCAGGACGTTAGAATGTCTTCAGTTTATCCACTGAATGTGTTTCTTCACCAGTGATGAAGTGACGGACGGTTTGAGAGTAACATGAGCGCGACACGTGCATGAACAAGAAAAACATACATTTAAACAAACCATCAAATAAAGTGGAACGAAAGCACAGACTTAGCTGCTGTGAATCCTACAAACCACTAGATGTCAGTGTTTGTAATCTCTGGTCTGAACACAGTGAATTTTAATTCTTCACAAACTCGATGAATTCATCAGAAGCAGCTCTGCTCCTGATTCTGTTTCATACCTGAGGCTGCCACTAGGTGGAGCTGTATATATTCTGGATGAAGCCCTCTCTGATCTAACACACACACACACACACACACACACACACACACACACACACACACAGACACACACACACTTCCAGACGCTCCTGAATGTTTGACTTGTTTCAGATTTTAGTTTACACTTGAGATATTTTATTGAAAAAAGTTACAAATCAGTTTTTTCAACCAAACAAAACTTTTCTTGATACAAAATGTAAAAAAGTTTCAGAAGACTATGTACAAAGTGCTGTTCTTCAGATTCTCGACGTTCAGGGAAATAAAGTTGGATCAAACCAATAATTTAAGAGACGACGCTGCTCCCTGTGATTCACCCTGAACAAACAAACGCAGTAATCTTAAAGTATTTTTACTCCAGAGCTGTCGAACATGGGAAGTTTAGACCGAGCCGCTCTGACAACAAACTCTGCTTCATGCCGACGCTGCGTTCAGCTCGTCGTTGTTCTTCATTTCCTCCCGGTTGTTTCTCTTCTGAACATTTAACTTCCTGACAGACAAAATAAATGGATCCTGCTTCATGTCACAGAGAAAACACAGACGGGAAGTTTGAAATAATCCACAACAAGGAAACCAACATTTTTCTGTTTTCAGATTCACCATTAAAGTTGGTTTCTTTTTCTCACTGAACTTCCTGCTGCTTCCTCCCTTTCGTTTCCTGTTTTTGTTTTTTCCTGAGTAAATATATCCTGCAACAAAAACTCCATTTTACCAGAGCGTCTGACTTTCTCTCATTATTCACTGATAATTAAACCTGGACTGAAGAGTCCTCATGTCTCTGGAGACACACTGTCTCCTGCCCTCAGTCTGTGCTAATGCTAAAAAACTACCAGCGTCACGTCCCTGCGTCACCGACGTTTCTGTTCTCGACAATTTAACATGAAACTAAATCAAAGTTCATCAGACTGAGATCACTTTTTCGTTCCCTCTGTCACTCCTCCAGATTTTCTCTTTCTCGATATTCTGTCATATTCTTCAAACTCCACCTGTCCACTAGCCGCCTCCCTGAAAGTCACCTGATCTCCACGCTCCCCTGTGCACCTCCTCCTCGCTCCCTCAATCGTCCTGCTTTTATTTTCTGAACACAAACAATAAAATCACCTTTTCTTCTGGTTTAAGACTCAAATTGAAAAATCTAAAAATCTGTGGAAATATTTAAAATCTGGTTCACGCTGTTTGAATAAATCTTCTGCGATGGAAAGTCAAAGGTCGCGATCAACATTAGTCAAAGAGGAAGTCAAGAAGAAGACGCTGTTGAAACATGAAAAAGAGAAGCACCAGCATCTGATGAGGAGGACGAGGTATCGAACAGGCGGCTGCTGCCGCGGCCTCCGTGTTTTCATATCACGTCCTCATTTCACTGTCAACGTGTTTTTGCAAAGTAATTTTCAGTTAAAGTCTAAAAATCTTCATTTAATCATAGAAACGTGTGAGTCTGTGACTTCCTGTTCGGAGCTGCGTCAGTCAGTCTTTTCCAGTGTTCACTTATATTTAGTGGTAAAGTCCTGATGGCGCCGCGAGGCCCGGACGCTTCTCCGTGTTCCCAGAGTTCCTCGGTGCGTTCCCCGCAGCAGGCGTGGCGCTGCCGTCCAGGCCCAGCGAGCGCCGGTACGCCGCAGAGAGTCGGTACAGGACGTCCGGTCTGGGGCCCGGGTGGGCGTCGGCCTTCTGCGTCATCAGCATTTCAAACAGCGTGCTGACCTCAGATAGGAGGGCCCCGCCCAGTGGGCCGTCCTTCTCTGGAGTTTTACCTGAGAGGGGGAAGAAGAGAAGGAGGTGTCACTCTGCTGCTTCTTCTGAGAACTAAAAAACTTAAGTTATATTATTTTTAGTTTTCCATGATACTGTTTTCTAATTTGCTATAGATCCAAAAATAAAAGCTGTAATAAGGATAAAAAAAAAATATTTGGTGCAACGCTGCAATTAAAACGCTGATTTCTATGAGATTCAAATAAACAATTCTTATTTTCCGGAATCTGATTTAATTTAAAGTTTTTTAAAGTGTAGTTTTTTTGTTGTTTTACCGAAGGTGGAGAAGGACGAAGAGTCCAGACAGTCCCGTGGAAGAGGTTCACTTTCAGGGGACGGAGGTCCGTTGGGGACAAACACGTTGTCATGGTAATCGCCTGTGAGCGGGAGAGAGAGTCTCGCCATCCAGGCCGGGTCGGTGACCTCCGCGAAGACGTCATCTGCAGAGAGAGAGACAGAGACGTTTGAACTGGATGTTTTAGTTTCAACCCAGATTTTGTCTCATGAAGCGGAGCGCAGCTCTGAAACGATTCATTCTACATCAACTGATGAAAAAAACCGACCTGCGGTTTATTTCATGACCTTTGACCTTCGACCACTGAACCCGATCAGTTTGGTTCCTTTGTTTGGTTCTTGAGATTCTCTCCTGAGGTTCAGGTGAAGTGTGATGTCGAGGCAGGAAAAGGAGGAAGTGACACTCTGGGTTTTCCACCTCTGTTGTGTCGGCTTTGCTTCAAACGTTCGCTAAAAAACATCCCGTTCACACTCGTCATCCAAAACAAAACCCTGCTGCTGCCTCGAGCTTCACAAACCAACGCTGTCAGAGGCGTGAACACGAGGAGTGTGTGTGTGTGTGATTCATGTTTCAAAATAAATCTTAAATAGACGATGGAAGTTAGAACTGTATCAGCTCTTATCAGAGCTTTATTGATTCTGTCTTAATTGATCCTTTTCGCCGTTTTCATCTGTTTTTGTTTAATTCGTCTGAATCTCGTGTAAAAAGAAACTTTTTTAAGTTTTAGTTTTGAATTTCAGGCTCGGATCAAATAAACGGATCAAACTGCCTCATTCATTTAAAATCAAAACGTTTCAGCTCCGCTCAGACTAATCAGCCTGAAGAGCTGAGGTCTCCTTCATGTAACCACAACCAGATGCAAGGAATCGACTCTCACACACACACACACACACACACACACACACCCGGTGTGGCACAGACCACCCCCAGAGGCCCCCCCCACCCTTTGTTTTGGTAGTTTTCCACCACTGATCCTCTGAATAGAAAAATCCTCTTTAAATTACCAAACGCATCAAGTTTCAGCAGATTCTTCGGAGATAAAACCGTCAGCTGCTTCACGTCTGACCCGGTGTTGATGTCCGAAGACGAAGCCGTCAACACTCTGGCGTGTTTCACGTCTTAGTGAGTCCCGTCTTTGTGTTTGTGTGTGTTTGTTTGTGTGTTGTTGGGCCTCATCGGTCCATTAACACACCTGCTGCAGCATTAAAAGCCCTGAACCTTCACCTCAGTCACACAGAGTGTTAACAACATGTGGAGCTCAGTGGTTATTCATGAAGCTCTGTTTGTTGTAATCCTCATTTATCTGAGCCTCAGGTTCTTCTTCCTGCCTCCGGCCGTCTCCGTCTGTTTGAAATTCTTTTTTTCTGCCTTTGACGCTGGTTGATTGAAACATTAATACAGTTTAACCAGGGAATCAAACTAAGACCTGCTGTAAATACTAAACCTCTCAGTGCCAAATATCAGAACCCAACACTTCATGTTCAGAATTGTTTAAGAAGCAGTTCATCGATTAACTCAACTTTTTCTAAAACTCTTGTCACAGTTAGTTTTGATTCGTACAAAAACAGGTTCAGTGTCTGACAGGAAATCAAAGAATTGTCCTGATCAATAAAAACCACAAACACATCAAGTATCTGTTCGTATTGTTGTAGTAAAATGTTTTAATCTGACTAAATACTTTTACTCTTAACTTCTCAACTCTGTCTGTGGCTCTCAGCTCCAGGATGCTCTAGGATGTGACCTCTAAATAATCATCTGTTTTACACATGATATGATATTACACACTCTCACCAACACACACACACACACACACACAC